AGCAAAGCATTTTGTCTCTGTGTGCTCTGATTGCCCTCAGTTGGGACACCACAGTACTCTGCAACATGTAGCCAGAGCTGCCCCTGGGCACTCTGATGCTTCTCTTGGATGCATTGCTGTGAGCCTGGCTGCACTTTCTGCAGGCTGCCATCTGGGAGGTCCATCGGGGGGCTGTCAGGATCCAGGAGGCCCTGCAGGAGAGCTTCCACCCTGAGGAGCACTAAGAGCCTCCCCGGTCTGTCCCAATGGGAGCTTGTGCCTCATTCCTCCCTCACGTCCTTCCACTTACCCCTCCTTAACCCCCCTTCCTGATGTAAAATAAAATACACGTAATTTCATGAACACAAACTCTCTTTATTTAACAAAACTGGGGTGGGGGGAATGAAACTCTGGTGAGACTGAGGAAAAGAGGTGGGAGGGGGAGAAGAGAGGGTGGGAGGGGGGAGGGGGAAACCTGGGAGGAGGGAGCTGGAAGGGGGAAGCAAAGGGAAGAAGGGGAGGGGAAGCTCAGGGTTGGGGGTCTCGCCGGACCAACTTGATTGTCATGCAAACCTGCTCCTGGGTTCGTATGTGGCCTTTGGTAGCCAGGCTGGCAGATATCCTGCCATAGATGGTCGCATTCCTCAGTCTGAGTTACACACTTCATTCTTGTATAAAACTCTCCCCGAGAACAGCACAGTCACTCACCCCTAAAACAGTCCAGTGACTAAGGAGAGAGCATTAAATCATCCAGGCTTAGTCACAGCCCAATCCCCACTCTCTGGATATGTCTACACTGTAGAGTTTTTCCGGAAAAACAATACTTACGCCCACACTGCTATTGCATTCTTTCAACAGAAAGTCAAAACAATTGAGTGATTTTTCCAACGGCGGTAAACCTCATTCTACGAGGAAGAAGCCATTTTCCAAAAAGCTTTTTCGGAAAAACATGTGTGTGGACGCGGAAGAGAGTGTTTTTTCGAAAGAAGAGGCCTCCAGGAGAAAGCACAGGTGCCCTGGTGGCCATTCCGTCCAAAGTAACCGCAACTTAAATGCGAGATAGTGTCCAATCAATGTGGACGCTATCTTTTAGAAGAAGTTTTTTCAGAAGATCTCCTCTGGAAAAGCTTCTTCTGAAAGAAGCCTACAGTCTAGACATAGCCTCAGTCACACACACCATCCAAAGTCTCTCCTTTGCACTGAGGCCTTGGGGTTGAGAATGCCCCCATCACACCCTACCAGTCAGAGGTAATTGCTCCTTGACTTCCAAACTTTTAGCCTGAGGTTCCATGCTAGGAATCCAAAATTTCAACAGAGCATGCTCCTGGCCCACCTTTGCTAAACCATCCCAAAGCTGAGAACAGTATTGGTGTCAGTGCATCGCAGAGTTGTTGACTCGAGTTCCATGCCTTGAACTCGAGTCCGACTTAAGTCGCCTAGGTGACTCAACTTGAGACTCAACTCAGGTTCGTTGTTTGTGACTTGAGACTCGACTTGAGACTTGCTAATTTTGTTAAATTGACTTGGTGAAAAAACTGTCCAAAAATACCGATATTGATGGCTTGAACAAAAGTGACTTGACATTTTTTAAATTAAGACTTGCGACTCAATTTGGGACTTGACTCGAAAATGACTTTAGGGACTCAAGACTCAACTTGAGACTTGAACTGTAGTCACTGGAGACTCGACTTGGACTTGACAATGACAACTTGAAGACAACACTGGTACATCGCCTGCCCCAAATTGAGCCTGTTTCTCCCATCCCTTCACCCTCTTTCCCCTTCCCAATATCCAGTGCCCTCTCCCTTCTCCCGTCACAAAGGCAGATTGGGTGGGATTTGGGTCTTTAAAGTCCAGGGCACATCATTCAGGTGAGACTCCCCTGCCCCTTGTGAAGTCACATCTGTGCAAAAGTGATTAGAAAACCCTCTTGAGCTTGTTACTGCCCCTTCCCTCTCCCCTCCCCCCCCACCCGCGATGTGGTGTCAGGTGTTTTGGGCCGGGCGGAATGGCATGGTTACATTGCCTGCCAAGCAGGAGGGGACAGGAGCATCTGCAGCAGATGGCAGGCTGTTCTGAGTCATCCCCTCAGAGCACCGCATCCATCTCTCTCCACAGACATGCAGTGCCCTAAACATCCAGCGCACCCAGGAGGGGAGTCAGGGGCTTTATCCCATTGCAATCATGAGCACTGAGTGGAGAAGGGATGCACCCAAGATCACAGAGTTAGACTTAGTGGTCTATTCATTTCTTATTCCCATGTCCATCATGATGGTATCTGAGCCACAGGAGACCCTGGCTTCCAGACATGCTCAGTCCGCACTGCAGCGTTATCCACCTTCACCTGGAAGCCTCTTTCCTAGAGGCCCCTCTTTACCCTCCAACCACTGCACACGGCTTCCGACAGAGCCAGTGGAGCAGGGTGTGAGTCACTGTGCAGCTCAGGAGGAGGGCAGGGGGACCTTGTGGAGAAACAGGAGAGGGGTAACAGGAGGCGGGTGGGTGAAGACAAGGGGTTGGCACTGGTTGAAGACTGAGGACTGGGCCTGACCCTCCATGCAGAGAGCCAGGAGTAGTGTTAACATGGTACGTCTCAGACAGAGCGCTGCATTGCACCAGACTGCCTAGGAGGACAGCAAGCCACCCACTCGCACGCGAGGATTTGAATGGTTGCCACCCTGGCTGGGCTGGTAGGTATATTATTAAACAGGGCCTGGCAGCTGGGATGCAGGTGCAGCTGGGCTATTTAATAGGACTGGCTGGGAACCCTGCATACATCCCAGCTGGGCCATGGCTCAAGCTGCAGCTGTCAAGCTGTCCAGTGTGGGGGTGAAGGAAACAGGGAGAAACATATGTGCGAACTGGGCTCAGTTCTGGACAGAGAGGTCTCCAGTCAGCAGCTAGCGAGACAGCCTCTAGCTCCCATAGGATGGAGGAGTCAGTGAAGGACTCATCCCTGCATCAGACAGCTCAGACTGCTTCCCCCTGAGATGATGGCCCAACCACAGAGCCCTGGTGAAAGGCAAAAGGGATTGGTCAGGGAGAAGAGAGTGCTGTAATGGCACCGTCTAGAATACATCCCCATGACCACCTGAAAGTACTCCAGGACCTCACTGATCCCCTCCTTGAAACATTGCTCCTTCCTACTTCTGCATCACATCTTCTCCTGTGAAAGGGAGCAGATGGGATCCCCCTTGGACACGCCACTGATGCTTGTTCACCTCTGCAGCACTCCCTGCCCCTTGCAGCAATAGTTAAGAGGCCAAACTCTCCCTCTCTGTTAGGGGAACTGGGCTAATTGTGCCCTTCATTGAACTGCACACCAGAACTTAAATGCCACAGAACAGCCAATTTCTTCTCGGTGCTGTGGATTCTCTCGGGACCCTTTCTCTGTCCAGCTAGAAAAGAAAGGTGAATGCAGGATATGGACACAGCTGTGGATAGCGCAGAAAGAATCACGGCTCTTTCTAAATGCTCCACATAGATATGCCTCTCCCCCCGCCGTGCGCTCCACCCACCTTCCACTCTGCGTTAGTATCTGATTCTCGCCCATGCCTTTGGGGCAGGAGATGGGTGATCTTCTATGCTGGAAGCCTCATGCCTTTATACAAGCTCTTTGTTTCTGTGTGGCTCCACTCCATGACTAGGACTCCCTGTAGTGTGTTTAGTGTAGCAGAGGGAGGAAGACAGAGGCAGGGCCTTGCTGGTTGCCCAATCACACCACAATGTGGCTGTGTGGTATGAGACCACAGTGGCAGTGGTCAGAGCAGAGACAGAAGAAGGAGAGCGGCACAATGATGTGTCCCTCTAAGGATGTGTCACTGACGACACTCTGGAACCCCGGGAGCCTGTAGGAATGAGATTCAGTGAAGAATTCATGGTAGCAGGACCTGCAGCGAAGCAAGTGGAAGCAGGCCCGGTAGGTGAAGGAACATGCGAGTGAGCTTCATACACGGAGCCATGGGTCTGCGCCTGACTGCAGGGCCCACAGGAAGGGACCTCACATGCAAAGCCCATGTGACTGGACTGCATCTGTGGAGCAAACACCACAGGCAGAATCTGTGGGACTGAGCCTCACTCAGGAGCCTAGAGGAATGGGCCTGAGATATGGCACCCGTGGCAGCAGGCCCTGTAGCTAGAGCCCAGGTGAACAGCCCCACAGACAAAGCCCAAGGGAGCAGCAGCATGACCTGTCCTAGAACGTCAGCTCTTTGGGGCAGTGTCCATACTGCATCTCGTACAGTGGGGTCCAGGACCAGGGTTGGGGCTCCTAGGCCAGGCCAAAATACAAACACCGATCACGAGTGATAGTGACGGCAGGGCACATGAGAATGGGCCCTGAACAGGGCAAGGTGAAACATGAGGTTGATAGCAGTCTGCCACTGTAGCAACATCCTTCTTGCAAGAGCCACCACTGTCATGATGCTCCACCCACAGAAAGATGCCTCGAGTGACAATACGGGGCTCAGTGGGAGGCGCCAGCAGCCTTGCCTGAAAGTCTAAGTGCAGCCTGCTAAAAAAAAATTAAGCTCCCCCACAGCAACATTAAAACAAAATGCAGAGACTGCTTGTCATGGTTACAAGGCCATCTCCTGCACAGGCCCCTTCCTGGACTCTGAGAGTACCCACTCACGCCTCGGGCCTTCTGCCTTTCCTTCTCCTAAAGCACAATCATGCAACTCTCCCACTGTTCAGTTGGGCCTGGGGCTATCGTACCCAGTGCCTCAACTGAGCTTGCCCAGCAGGTCCAGCTGAGGTCCTCCCTGTAGAGGTCTGCAAGCCGTGATGAATAGAGACCAGACAGCTTTCCTGAAACCGAAGTGTTGTTCAGTCTTAGCCGTAGGAACAACAAGTAAGAGAAAAAGACGTTAAAACTGCAGAGTCTCTATGTGCATGGCTCTTACCGATAGCCCGACCACCCTGTGAGAGCAACCCAGTGAGCCCCAACCGCCAGCCCCAACAATCCAGTGATCCCAACAGTAACTGCCGCTTCAATGGACCCAGCTAGAGTTCTTTCTTGTCACACTTCCCTGGCTGGCCCCGCTGTCCAAAACTAGTTTGGTGAGCTCAGGGGGAGATCAGGCCAGTCTCTGCGAGGCCAGCGGCGGCTCTACCATCGGGCTGCTGTGATAACTCTCAACTGTTCGCTGAGGAGCATCTGCTCTCGAGGAGCTGTTTCACCTTCCTGCTCATTTTGCAAGCACCCTGCTGATTTTGCCCGGCAGAGTCATGCCGTGAACTTTCCAAGCACGGGGTCACACATGGCACTCACAGATCATTCAGAGCAGCCCACGTCCCCCACTCTTCCAGAAGGGGATTGTTATTTTCCACTATCCTGTGAGTCACTGGTGAGTAAAACATGTGGCCTCTCTTTGGTGACTACATGTCTGTGCATATACATGTCCGTGGAGAGATTAGACAGAGGCTCAAGCTGTAACCTCAGACCCCCTTGTCTTGATTGGCTCACCAGTTCATCCTCACTACAACTAGGAGCTCAGCCCCCACGTGGCAGAGTGTGGGCTCACTGGACTCACGTGCCGGATAGGCTCCAGACTGGGAACATAGAGGAACACTGGTGTCAGCTAGGCCACTAAGGCTTCATCTACACTGCAGGGTTTTTGCAGAAGAAAACTTCTTCTGCAAAAACGCATCCACACCTCAAAGCACATCGCTTTTGCGCAAGACAGTGTCCACACTGCATGGACACTCTTGCGCAAGAAAGCTCTGAATGGCCATCAGAGCACCTGTGCTTTTCCCAATAGGGTTTCTTGCACAAGAAACCCCTGCGGAGCATCCATACTTGCCTTTTTGCACAAGAACTGTAGCGCAAAAAGGAATTATTCCTTGTGGGGAGAGGAATAACTCTACTGGCAAAAGCCCTCTCTTCTGCTGATTTACTTGCGCAAAAGCTTGAGGTGCAGACACTCCGCCGGTTTTTGCGCAAAAACCTTATAGTGTAGACGTAGCCTAATTGTGTGCTGTCCTATGGATGGAACTAACAACGGAAGAGAGATTAGATGGAGGAAAGAATTTGGGACGGCACTATTGAGGCTCCGTGTCTACACTGTGCTGCTCAGAATTCCAGATCATGAACAACCAGCAACAACTCCAGGAGACCTGGCCATCCCAGCTACCTGACCCCAAGTCATTCCCACCTGGCCATCTGTAATCTCAGGCCAGTCTCCTGGAGACTTTGGTATCAAGGGTCTCTGAAACCCAAAGCAACCAACAAGCGCCATGGGCATCTTCACTTATTGGAAACCAAGTCTGATCCGCAGGAATCCAGGAAGACAGTGCCAGCAAAACAGTGTAGGAATGACGCAGCAATAGACACAAAAAGCTATTGTCCTTCATTCTTCAGAATCTATCTTCCCTTTACTTTTCCATGCCATCCTCCTCCGCTATCTCGCCTCACCCAAAAACCCTCCTGTCTGACACTCCTTGCCCCATACCAGTGGGAAGGAGAATACAAAATTGATAACCAAAGAACTGGATGAGATCACTTGTCCGACGCTCAGGAGATCTTGGATACATTTCCTAAGAGCTGTCTCCAAGGTAAACAGAAGCAGCAGCAGTGACCAGGAGCCCTTAGGCCCCTTAGAATTGCCAGACGCCGGGGCAATTGCCCTCTTTGCCTACCCCTGCTCCCCCACCCCTCCGTTGGTGGGCCTGCCTGGCCTGCGAATGAACTGTATTGGTGAGACTGGGCTTTGCTCTGCGGTGAACTGGTGTGCAGAGTGCTGGGGAGGGGATTGTAAGGGGAATCTTCCCCAAAGAAGAAATGTGTCTTTTGAAAGGCCTCCACTTACAGCTGAATGTCTGGAGATGGAGTCCTCCCAGCTTTGACTGGACCTGCATGTTCTACCCCGCCTCAGCAGTGATGCTATTTCAGGTCTCTTGGAACTGGGCTTTGCTCTGCGGTGAACTGGTGTGCAGAGTGCTGGGGAGGGGATTGTAAGGGGAATCTTCCCCAAAGAAGAAATGTGTCTTTTGAAAGGCCTCCACTTACAGCTGAATGTCTGGAGATGGAGTCCTCCCAGCTTTGACTGGACCTGCATGTTCTACCCCGCCTCAGCAGTGATGCTATTTCAGGTCTCTTGGAACACCGT